CGCGGACTTGGCTCCTTGAGGTAGGAGACTAACTTGTAGCGCCCTCCACCGCGTTAGTCTCCCCATAGTTGATTGCTTAGCGATTGGAGTTGGCAAGGGCCTGGAGTCCCCGCTGAACCCTTTCTGTCTCGTGAGGCGATACGGTAATTATACGAAAATGGATCTTTTGATCCTTCCGAGGGGGCGCAGCCGAAGGCGACTTCGGTAGCACACGGTTGCCGGCCCAGCACACGTACGGGAGGTCCAATGAGCGAAACCGCACGCGACCCACTGGCCATCTCAATTTTCAGTAGTTGATGATCGCGTCTGGGACGAGCAGCTGCGACTGGCGGGTCTCGTTTCATGGCCACTAAGCGGCAAGTTGGGAGAGGCGGAGCAACCGTTAAGCGGACCGGACCTTGACCCCCTATCCTAAACGTTCAGTCAAGCCCAGCTCGTCAAGCCCAAAGTCCACCTTGAGTGTTAGTCGACATCTCTTCGGAAGGCCTAACGCAGCACGGAGCACACGTGCAGGGCTGCGTAGGGATTCAAGCTTTAGTTGCGTACAGGGGTCTACCGGGTTCTGGGGTGCACCAGGCTCTGGGTGAGCATTATTTATCACCAAGAAATGCCCAGCCCTTTCCTGGTTTCCGGTCTTGGAAAGCCAGTCATGTTCCATCCATCAAGCTATAGTGCAATGGATAAGTTCTGTTAGCTACCGATTCTTGCCTGCAGCATCGCAGCGCTCACGCGACCAACCGCCGTCCCTCGAGGATAGTTGACCATCAGTCAACCAGAACGAACTCGCAACCTCTCGAAACCCTTGACGATTTACCTCACCCGGAAAGATGAGCCGGAAACCCGCATGGCTTGCCTTTGTTGGCTCACGCCTTGCCAACCGACGATTCATCTTCACGCTCGTCGCCTTGGCTGTCTGTGGCGCCAAGGGTGCACACCTTCACAACCACCGGTCTTCAGTCGCCCCGAAGCGAATGCTTCTTTTTTTCTTTTCTTTCTTTACCCAGGATATACTGCTTCTCCTTTTCATCAGACTTCTCCTCAGTCACTGGATGCCTACCGGCTCGAGTAAATTGCGACTCCTCGTCACACTCGTCGTAGGCTATTTGATATCCTACAACATCGCTCTCGGTATCATTTCCGTCTCCTTCTACATCGTCGCCGGATCCGAGATCCACTGGCGGAACATAGGCTTCGTTGCCGATCCGACGTCGAGGGCCATTCTTCTCTCCGGGCTCATGACCTTCATCGTAGTCGTGGGCCTTTCTCTTTTCCTAAGCGGGCTGCTCCAATGCGCCTGCTACGGGCTCTTTGGATTGGGTGCAGACATTGCCAACTGGCCCATCGCCTTCATTACACGGAGTCTTGCCCCCCCCATGAGCTTCCGGGTGGGCTACGGCCAAATCCCCCAACGAGATGCCAAACAAGACCCTGGTAGCTGGTTCAATAGGGGCGACAACAAATTGAGCCTCGAAAGCTACCTCACATACAAGGAGAAATCCAGGTTATCATCGTTTTCCCCTCGCCCTTCACCAAGAGTATCAACAACAAAGGTCGCCCTACACGCCTTACCGTACATTATCCTCTCTATTCTTCTTACTGCTCTCTTCACCCTGACATTTTTGAGACCGGAGGATCCCTCTTTGATATTCCTCTCGTGGACTAGCGGACTTCTACCGTTTGTCGACTTTGCTTCGACATCACCACTTCTGGACGATTTGCCTTCTTATTTCGGAAACGGCATCCAACGGGGCTGGGACAACCGATCGGCCCTCGTCCAACCGACACCTTTCAGCTGGCTCCCAAAAGATACGCCACTAGCCGGATTTGAGGATTGGTACACAAACCAAACACACTACAGTGCCGACGCCGACCCTTTGAAGATTTCCAACCTGGATGAGCCCCTGCTGGACTCTCTGCGCGACAAGCTGCGAGACATATCAGTCCGCCATGTTGTACTCTTTTTTCTCGAAAGCACCAGAAACGATGTGTTCCCTATCAAAAAGAACGGCTTAATCTGGAATCGCTTCGCCGAGACATTTCCCGATCACCAACTCCCTCAGGGGGTCCAAGACAAGCTAGCCAAACTGACTCCGACTGCCAACTTCATCACAGGTGACTATGATGACGGATTCGAGCACGACGAGGAAGAGAAACGCGGCGGAATTCGCTTCACCAATGCTCACACCGCCGGAACATACACGCTCAAGAGCATGGTTGGTGCAGTCTGCGGCGTGGCGCCATTAGTGGGTGACTTCAACCTTGAATACAGCCACCATATCTACCAACCTTGTCTGCCTCACGTTCTCGAAGCCCTGAACCGGGCGGAAGACGCCGAGACGGAGAGAACTGACCCGGAGTCGAATTGGAAGTCTTATTATTTCCAGGCGTCGACACTCGAATACGACAATCAGAACAAGTTGATGGCTGCGATGGGCTTCCCGAGAGAAAACACAATCGGCCGGGAGTACCTTCGCAGCCCAGCTGCGGCACACGGCCCCGTCACGCTGCCAAACATTAACGAATTCGCTTTCGAGGAGGACCCCCTCGAAGACTACATCCGCGATATTTTTGCTGATGCCGCCATGACAAACGATCAGGTGTTCCTTACGCATCTCACGAGCACCAGTCACCACCGCTTCAATCTGCCCAAGACGGAGCCATACTTCCCTATGGCTAAGGGCCTCGATATGATGTCCCGTTACATTAATACGGAGGGTTACGACGATAAGTGGATTCGCAAGGTTCTCAATCTATTAGATGAGCAAGGCGTCGCCAACGAGACCTTGGTCCTTTTTCTCGGAGATCACGGTGTCTCCCTGCCCGAGAACAATTATGCCTCCCCATATTACAACCCTAATATCGGCGTTGACCACGTCCCTCTGGTTATTTCGCACCCTCAATTACCAGCCTTTGACGCCCACGGTGCAGTCCACTCTTCCCAAGTCCTACCTACGATTCTCGATATCCTTCTCGAGACTGGGTCCTTGAATAATGCGAGCCGGCAAGTTGCGACGGATCTCATCCAGAACTACGAAGGGCAATCTCTCCTGCGACCACTGAATGTGGTCAATAAGGATACCAACCAAGGGCAATGGCAATTTACCGTCACAAACCCCGGTCGAGCTATGCTCACAGTCCGCGACGCCCGATATCCCGAACGACACCTTGTTATCCCAGTTATCGAGAACGTCGAATGGCGATTAACCAACCTTACATCCGACCCGCATGAGCATCACTCTGTACAAAGCTTGGACTTTGTGTCGTTCTTGCAGAGAGTAGAAGATATATACGGCCGCGATGTGGCGGAATGGGCTGAGGAGGGCGCTTTTGTGACCCGTTGGTTTGTGAAGGAGAATAGCAAACGCTGGCGTTTTAATCACCGAGAGTAAGACAGTAACTAAATACATGAACTCAAACCAGCATCAAGGATTTCCCCTTCGTCCCTTGTAATTTGTCGCTCGCTGTTTTAGCCTGGATTCGCCCACGCTGGGGCCCGAATGGGGCCGCCTCTTGCTTAAGGTGAGTGCGGAATCTCTTAATTTCTCTAGCCACATGGGAGATGTACAGTTCTTTCATATTTGATATTCAATATCGGAGTTTTCATCAGGCAATGCAGAGGGAAGCTTCGGGCTACCTGACTGGTGGAATAGCTGGGAACGTAAATGCTGCTTGTAACCTCTAGAACTCCTAGAGTGACGCGTTTTCGGGACATCAATCTTCATAAAAGAAAGCCAACTATATGGAAGACTTCATACGAGAAGAATTAACGACGACGATGTGGCCGATTTGAGATTAATTTAGTTTAACGTCTCAAATCTGTTCTTTCTTTGTCCCGTTTCTCGACGTTCAGCCAGGAGCTCGTTGTTCTTACATATTTAATAAGAATATTAGGCTACCTCGAAGAAATATGAAAATAATATAGAAAATGGGGCTTCTAATCAGGTTTCTTCTCACATTTCAACACCGAAACCAGCACTATCTCCTAATTGAGTGGGCCGGCGATACCCTCCAAAAGTTCTGAGAAGAGAACAGCCCAGCTCCATTCAGTGGGCTTTTCAGGAATCTCTTGGTACAGTCACCATACTCGAACGAGTTCATAGACTTGCAACGTGGCAACAAGACCAGAGATTATCAAACCTAAGCGTGTTAAGTGATGAGGAGTGGTTTGACAAAATGGAGACATCAAGCCAAACAAAATTCTATGGTTCTCTACATATGGAGTAATGCACGCACGGATGATACCAATTGACAGATAACTTGGCTTTCTGTTTCTCAGAGCGAGGCAACGCGACGAATGAACGTCCTTGTACAGCAGGCCGAGGGAAACTCCAACAGCACACGAGTAGGCACGCGTGAACGTCTGCAGAGATTCGCTATTGAAATCATTGATAGGGGAACTCCAAACAAACACCTCGCAGCCGGAGCACAGAGAGGGTAACCAACACATTGATTACAGCGCCCAAACCATGACGCGTTGATGGGGAGTCCTCCGAAACGCAGGAAATGACCCTATGATAGATAGAAGTTAACGATTGCCATAAAATACAATGCTATACGTGGGTTTGCAAATAATCTCGGTCGACGCGATTCAGTTGCGGCCCTTCTGCGCCGGACTGGACAGTGCTAATCCATCACGCCTGAGGCCTGGGGCATCTGGTGTTGGTGTGACATTTAGGATTTGGGGCATCATGCAGATCGGTTGACAGAGGGATAGCGACTGTCGCAGGGGGACTCCATTCTCGGCGCTGATTCCGCTGGGTATTGTAACTTTGAGGGTTAGTCGTATTACAAGATTTAGTTTGTCGCAAAGACGGCGTATGCTAGCGTGTGAGGACGAAAGTCAAGCGGCATCTGAAGTTAGTCAGCGCAGGTAGCTTCATTGGCGACCTACCAACCATGTTTCATCAGTCCATCAATTAGTTCGGCAAGAAACCTTTCAGTTAGGGTGATGATAATTCGTCCCTCGGTGTCCGATGAACCATCAAAAAGAAATTGTGACATGGCAAGACTGGGGCTCGAACCCAGGAGGATTGCTCCAGCAGAATGCGTCTCCTTCTAATAAGAAGTAAAACTTAAACCTGCCGCCTTAACCACTCGGCCATCTTGCCATTGTGTTTGGAGACCGTCCTTTTTTCATGATTTATATCCTGACAAGTCTCAGATAACTGAGGATTGTAGCGCAACTCAGCACCTATCTCATACCTTAGAGTTAATTGGGCATTCAGCCTTATAATCTTGAAATTTAGTACTTTATAGGTTGCTCTAGTTAGGCTCGCGATTAATATATACTAAAGTCCTTTATTTCTTCCGGAATATAGACTAATCTATTTAGTAGAGACTAAATCTCTAAAATCTAGGCAAAGGACGGCTTACCCTTAGCAGATTGTATAATAAGTTATCTCTAACGGATTTCCCCTACTTATATTGAAAGTATAATGCGCGAAATACCATTACACACTTTAAGCACCATAGAAGAATCAGCTACTAAGACACTTAACCAGAGCCTATTCTTATCTATCTGTACATACAGGTAGTATCCTCACATTCTAGCATAGATTCTAACTTAGACGCGTTCAGCCATTGTCCAAGAGATGGTAGCTTCGCGGCACTGCCCAGCCAGACAGCCGCAAAAACCAATCATCTGAATAAGCCGTTCCTCTCGGGGTTAGCATGGCATCGCGAACGATGCGTTAGCCTTCCCCGATCCAGGTTGTGTTGCCGTACAGCTCCTGCAGGTCTATGCTGTAATCGACTAGCTGGCGTAGTCGCCTGGCTGCGAGCCCAGGCGACCCAACTCTTCCCACCAATAAAAGGTTTAGTGGGTGAACAATCCAACGCTTACCGAATTCTGCTTTGGTATGATAGGAAGAGCCGATATAAGCCAGTTCTGTGATACCTACCGAGACCCAGGGTCCCGGTGTATGCTGCTTCTTGGTAGGCGGGGACTGGACCTGGCAGATGAGGCTGGGCCTGGGATGGGGATGATGAGAAACATCGATCGCGTCATCTAAGTAACCGCCTCCTTCTTGAGAGGACTTGGCCAGGTCGCCTATCCGGCGTTGAATGTCGAGAGTGTGTGGATTGTCCCGTAGGGGAGGGATCGAGAAGGAAAGTCTGAAAGGCTGCAAGTATAAGCGTGGCAGCATGGGAGCATGTCGTATTGTGCGCGCGCGAGAATTCCAGTGCACGTGAACAGTCAGAGTGGAAGAGTTTTTTGAGCAGTCGGAGTGCGTGACAGCTGTCAACGGGAAATGCGCGATGCCTACGACAATGATTCAAGGGCGAGGCAGCTGTCAACTTTTGACAATCGCCCCTCACTCATAGTCATCACCAAACGGCATCACCAAACGGCATCACCAAACGGCATTACCAAACAGAAACAACAATCCTCGTTGCATCCCACATATCTTTCCTATCATCTTCGTTGCATCCTCGATCTTTCTTCCATCATCTTCGAATCCATCATCTTCGAATCCATCATGAACCGAGAAAAGGATACCCAGAGTCACTGGCTGCCTGAGCCGACCCCGGCCGCCGACGTCGGCTACGACACACGAGGGTTCGACTGCCTCGTGGCCGTCATTCGCCGCATTTACCACCTGGTCGCCGACGACCTTGACGGTACTAAAGCCTTTGCCGAGGCTCAAGAAAAGAACCTCATCTTGCGCTACGCATGCGGAGTACCAGATCTGTCTGACGTGGCCACCCCCGACCTCGTCGCCTCGAGCGTCGCAGAGAAGAAGAAGATCATGACAAAGTTGTTTGGAAACGACCCCAGAGCTTCTATCAACTTTCACGATCTTTGCTGTTCCGACTTGATGAATGAGACGTTCTGGCGTCTCCGGCCCTTCCACCTCTTCCGCCCTCGCTTGGAAAACTTCGAAGGGTCGTCTCCTCCCTGGAGGTGGATTGACTGGGACCCTCGTGAGATCACGGCGATGAATCTCATCAGAATGGAAGGCAGCCAAAACCCTGCCTCAACCCTTCAGGACTTTGTCAACGGGACCTTCGGCCGCCGCACATGGCGCGGCCGCGAGGTCTTGTTAGCGTCCAACTGCCCGACTGTTGTTCGTGTCCTATACACGCCGGGCCCGGATCGAGTGGACAGTTTCCAAGAACTTCGGTCATTCAATATGCCATATTACAATTTCGAAAACGGATGGCAGGTCAGTGGCCAGGGTCACATGCGGTATAGCTTGGTCGCCGTTGTCCACATGGTCCATCCAGACGTGGTCGCTTTTCAGGACAGCGTTCGTCTCTACGGTCTGGACGGATCCCAGCTTGTCCCCCGCAGTTCAAACCCAGCGTTCACCGACTATTCTTGGTCGCTAGATCAATTCACCGACAGTTCTTACATGCTATTTTTTGGCAAGGCTGACGAAGTCCAACTAGAGCCTGGGTTTCCGGAGGTCACTCCCGTCAAAACACCAGTCACGGGAAACGAGTTAATCATGGATGTCCTCAAGTCATACAGGGACAGTCGGTGAATGTGGGATATATTACATTGTTGTCGCTGAGTGTGACTGATTTCAGCCACTGGTCGTGGGGCGTCAGGTATGCGGAATTGGGCATGGATGGGCAAGATTCAGGGAAAGGACGGGCAGATTTGTATATGAATAACAATTGAATCCCTCCGCTCACTAATTTCTGCGTTTCCATCATTACTCTTGACTCCATTGATTGCCTTGATGGCTGCGCTGAGTACACTAACTCAATCAGCGGGCAAAAAACACCAAACGCAGACATTCCAATTTCCAACAATGGAAGTGGTGGAGGACGGACAGATGCTGGTGGAGACATTTCGGAAGGCCCCTGCTATTCTCTTGCAGGCATTGGGGGTTGGCACGACGTTGGGTCAGTGGATTTGGACAATTCGACTTTGTTCTATGACTGTGAAGGGGCCCCTGAGGCAGGTTTCTAATCTGCCAGCGGTACTGGATCAGCTGGTGCTGGTGGAGGAGATCCGGGCTGTTCTGGACCGTCATGCGGAACGGGATTGAAAATGGATATGAAGTGGACTCTCAAAGCAGTTGATTATGGGGATCACGAATGTTTTAAGTTGATTATGGAAGCCGAGGGCGGCTCTCCGAAAAAGAGATTTGTGAGGGAGGTGCTGGGGGCACCCTCCCACCTGTTAGTTTGAAAGGACAACCCTGCTTCTACATCACTCCCAGACTCCCCTACTTTTAGGCGACCACGCTAGTATCAATGGACGTCAACGACTCAAACTCAAGTAAAAAGGCATTCAGTGTTCTTAAACCCACCACTCGCCTGGATCCTCAAAGTTCCGTTCTGGCCGTGGATAGCAGCCCAGCCATTCGTGAATATCCTCAGGTGCAGCGTTTGCCACCAGCGTCGTAGGAATCCAAGTCCAGTCTATGAACTGGACTCCATCGGCTTTCCGTTCCACCGCATGGTAGATTCCAAAGACGAGTTCCGGTCGAGCTTCTTTTTGCTTAATTTCGTCAAAGTCGACCAGAGCAGAAATCCACGGGCGAATGTTGGTAAAGGGTTGGCCATTGGACAAATCATGGCAATGCAGTCCACGTCCTCGTAACTGCATTGCGACAAGTTGTTGGAAATAGGCGTGAAGTAAGTCGCCCTGAAGCTCCAGCTGCTCTGAATCGGTGAGAACATCCATCTCGTCGGCATAAGGTTCGTGGGCTTTGCCAAGAGCAGCATTTATAGCATCGATCCTCCGAGCCACCTGGATGGATGGGACGGTGGCAACAGTGCAAGCAGTGCCAGGAACGTCAATCAGTACCTGGTGAATGTCCGGCTTGTTCGTAAGGCGAAAGTCTTTGTATTCCTTGGCAACACACTTCCAGAGACCTAGAACCAGCCACATGACTCCTTTGTTCGCCATGGGCCTGGTGTGTCCCCAGCACGCGCCCAGAATTGCCTCTCGGTCCTCGATCGAGCGAGAGGGATCGACTTTGATAGTGACGACGTCGAGAAGCCCGACGCACAAAAGAGACGCCAACTGAATCTTGATCTTCTGGAGAATTGAGTTTGCCTGAGTTGATGATTTCCGTGCTACGAGACAAGCTAGACGATGGTCGTAATCCAGGGCGGGCAGCACCGCGTTGAAGACGGCCGCTTCGTTGGGAGGAAATCCCAGGGTGAAGTTGTCAATTGACGCCGATGGGGCAGAAACGAGGATGCCGTGGCGTTTCATACGGGCGGAAATCTCAAGGCTGGCGAAGCGCTCGGGGACAAAGCAGTTGACGATCTCGGTGGAGTTCATGTACCAGTGAGATAGTCCCCCAAGGGCGCCGAGGAAACCACCTAGTTGCCGGTTGGAGACCTCCAGGCGACGACGCTCATGCCCGGCTTCAATAAACTCCCAGATGCTCTCATTGTTGTCAAGATACATGGTAATATTTTTCGGATTCGTCGTCGTCCTCGAGGCCCATGACGCCTGCTCCAATCGTTCGTCCCTGGAAAGAGGCAGCTCCAAGTAGGCCATCTGACCCATGACGGCGTCGTAGACATTTTTGGTCTCACGGGTTGCGATGGCAAGGTGCACATGGTCGAAGCCCTGAACTTGAACTGGGGCGCGAAACCAAGGATCTACGTACACGATGTGATAGAGCCGACTACAACTGAGAGCCGTCTTGATATGCTTTTCGGTTGAGTCTCGCGTAAGAAGGTACACTACCAAGCTCCGTGCATCCCTGAAATTGGCTTGCATTGCTGGCAATAGGCTGGGGATTTGCAATGGAGACAAGAAGCAAAGAATGATGTGCTTGGCATTCGCATTAGTGACAATGCTGTGCAAGATGCGCGCAGTCATGTCTACCGACCTATGGCTGGTGTACACTGTACGGCACTCCGTTGGCGGCTCCTCGTCATCGCTCATGTCGAAAGGTGTAGATTCAGGCGCCGAGTACAGCTTGAGAAGACGTCGCGTTGCCGGGGCCTGGTCCTCCGGAGACAGCGTCAACACGCGTACATGGGCACCCGGCCTTTGAGACACGGCCATGGCCCAGTGAACGGTCGTGGCTAGGCCCAGGGCGCACAAGGCAGGCATGTTGGGTTCAACGGCGAAGACAACGACGACACGGCAGGGCAGGATCTTGTCGCTGATCCGGCCTTGCGGTTGGAC